AGCACGCAGTGACTCTTCCATCAAGATCGGTCTGCATCAGGGGAAATTCATGAGTCAAAACTCCTAGAGTCTAATCAGCAGAGTTTGTTCTCACAACAAACATGCTACTTCATTCTGAACGTCACTACGTCTAAATATGGAAAAGTCCAGTGGGGAAGCAGTCGAAGTGATTCAGATTTTCTGTTGATTGTCTGTTTTTTTGGTTTACAAAACAACAAAAGCTTGATATAAACTGCTTGCATGTTTTTCCCCTTCTGTAATAATTAATCTGTTTAATCTTCTCTTTTATGTAGGATTAGCTAATGACCTCAGGAGATCTGCTTCTACATAATACATATCTTTGTAATCCTTTCAGCCATAAAGCATGTTTTTTTCAGTTTTTTTTTTTTATCACCTTACAACGAATACTTCCTGACGTGTTCTAGATTCCTTAACCCTACCCCATACCTAAACACAACTTTTACAAAGTCTACCTTACTATCAAAAAGCAGTAATTAGGAGTTTATTAAGGGAAAGCTCGTAGTTAATAGTTAATGTGTTCCCTAATCTGAAGTGTTACCAAATTACATTTGGACAAAATGAGTCATGTCACTGACCCAAATATATAACCATGAGGAAATGGATATTTAGTGGTGTAGGTTTGCATATTTCCACCATAATTATTGGATGGGTGAATATTTTAGTCTAAAGTAAACATATCTTTCTCTATTAATAGGTTATACCATAACAGTGCCTTCTTTGTACGTTTACAAGCACAAGTCATGTTTTAAACGACTAAAATTAAGATGATCATGATTTAGGCTACTCGCCCATATGTTGTTTTAAACCCGTATGACTTTGTTTCTTCAAAAGGAAACATTTGTAGAGCTTTTTATCCACATGTTTTACAGCTTAAGGAGGCTAGAGCTTTCAAGATTTAAAAAATAAAGATGCAAAGCAACTTAAAAGTACAACATTTTTGTTCTATATTCCAAATCCATGAGTTCAAGTGAGGTATACAATACAGGTTTAGAATAACATGAGGGTGAGTAAATGAAAACAGTTTTCATTTGAGTGAACTATCCGTTTAATATCAACCTATTCCTTCAACATATTTTATAGAAGCAAATAAAGTCTGTGATATTAGAACACTTCCAGTGCACTCTTTGGCATGTGACAACTTTTAATATTGCATCATTTACCTAACAGGCATTTCAAATCATGAGCCTCAATGTCAAAGGAATATGGATATCTTATTAAAGTTTGGTAAGGTTTTTTCCTTCAAGTAGGTAAATGTCGGAGAGTTTGATGTTTAGGCAGAGCGGGTGACATAATTTGTTTCTCATCACGTGACCATCGCATGGTTGGATGCACATACATGTTCACCCTGCTGAACCATCAATCACGTCTATCTCCACTCCAGGGAGAAAGAGATACACACTGGGTGGGTCTTGATTAGGAAAGATTCTTACAGATCTCTCATTCCTCCTTTCTGATGTGCTTGTTGGCTACATCAGGGCATTTATGGTAAATCCATCTGTGTCGGGTTACCTTGGCATAGGACGGTAGCACCATTTAAACGTCGTCTTCTGGCTTTGATCTTTCACTCGAGCCCCATGGACGTGTGTATTCGCAGTGCCGTCATGCTTGGCGCAGGCGTTTTGTGTTGGCTCTGAAAAGTCTTTTGTTGTCACGTGGCCAAGCCTTTGTGCAAGTTTAAATGGTGGATGTTATCTGTAAAAGAGAGGGCATTCTGTAGACCACCCATGCTCGCTGTGCAGCATGTTTTCACATCCCCACTTCAAAAGGTCATGTATGCACTAATATTTGGCGGCAATTTGTTGGGGAGTGTGAAATTACTCTTGTGTCTTTTGAAATGGGTTGAAACAATGAGTGGCTTTTTCATTTAATTTAAGGAGGTCTAGAAGTGGTTTCTCCATCATTTGAATCCAGAAAACTTCACTATGATATAATCCCATTCGGATCTGATTCCCAGCGGTGAGAGGCAGCGGCGTCCTCCCTCGCTGTCTGTGGGAGGCTTCATGAATGGCATGATAAGCTGCGGCCCTGAATGAGTCTCAAAGTGCCGGAGGTGTAGAGAGAGCCTTGAGGGATCCCGCTCTCGGAGCGCAGATGGCTGTGGAGTCCAGCCAAAGAACTAATAAAGCACAGGATATCAATGCATGTCTCTCACTCGCACCATGTCAGCGTTGTCTGAATGCTAACACTCTGAGCGGATGCACCTTAGAATCACACACCGTCCACAGCGTTAGACTGTTCTCTGGAAACGGGCTTTTTTCAGTAAATAGGTTAGCCGACTTTTATAATGTCAGAACATTGGAAACTGTGGCAGGAGGTTACAGAACTTTCAAACTGCATCAAGTAGTTTTTCTATTTTTAATACATTCTCGTAAATGTCTTGTCCATGTAGTCAATAATTTGTGTTGTATTGATACTTTTTTAAATGGCCTAATAACAATTAAATAATAATCTTTGTAAACTAAAATAATTGTAGTTGATGATACTGTGCAAAATTATGAACTTGAAAAAATCTCTTAATTCTGATGTTTTAATGAATCTTGTTGTCATTTTGTTCCTCAGTGAAACACTTTTTGAACCTTAATTTTGTTTGAGATAAACACTGCCGAACATGTGGAATGTGATTTTGGACCAATGAACTTTTATCACAATCTGTCTGTTTATAACCAGTTTTAGCCAATATTTGACCATTTTGAGGGCCTTGTCAAATTATAACTTGTGAATATCTTCTTCTTCTTTTTTCAGTGAATTGAGTATTAACTAACAAATCTAATAAATAAAAAAACTAATATCATCTACATAATAGAGTACATTTGTTTGCTGTCATTTAAAATTGTATTATGTACACTGCTGTTGAAGTTTTTTTTTGTTTGTTTTTGAAAAGTCTAATGCTCACTAAAGTTGCATTTTTTGATCAAATATACAGTAAGTAAAACGTAGTAATGTAATAAAGTAATGCAATATTTTTGCAATTTAAAATGACCGTTTACTATTTTAATACATTTTAAAATGAAATGTATTCCTGTGCTAGCAAAGCTGAATATTCAGCAGCCATTACTCCAGTCTTTAGTGTCACATGATCCTTTAGAAATCTTTCTAATATGATGATTTGGTGCTCAAGAAACATTTTCTATTGTTATCAATGTTGAAAACAGTTGAGCTGCTTAATATTTTTCTGAAAACGGTGATGTACACATTTCAGGATTCTTTGATGATGGTTCAAAAGGGCATCATTTATTAGAAATGGAAATCTTTTGTAGCATGTCATTTTGACCACCATGTTCTCTTTATATCAGTATAATCATCAGTTGACTACTAGTTAGGGCAGCCTTTTGAGGAAGTCTGAACTAGGAGGATTCAAAAAAGTTAACATACCAAAACTGTTTAAGTTATTTCAGGCCCAAATACGAAGTCTGTGAAGTGCTGACAGTTTGAATTATAAACACACTGACCTCCTTCAACTCTCTCTTACAGATCTGATCCATTGCACAAATGAGATGAATGTGAACATCCCTCAGCTGGCCGAAGCTGCGGCCCTGAATGAGTCTCAAAGTGCCGGAGGTGTAGAGAGAGCCTTGAGGGATCCCGCTCTCGGAGCGCAGATGGCTGTGGAGTCCAGCCAAAGAACTAATAAAGCACAGGATATCAATGCATGTCTCTCACTCGCACCATGTCAGCGTTGTCTGAATGCTAACACTCTGAGCGGATGCACCTTAGAATCACACACCGTCCACAGCGTTAGACTGTTCTCTGGAAACGGGCTTTTTTCAGTAAATAGGTTAGCCGACTTTTATAATGTCAGAACATTGGAAACTGTGGCAGGAGGTTACAGAACTTTCAAACTGCATCAAGTAGTTTTTCTATTTTTAATACATTCTCGTAAATGTCTTGTCCATGTAGTCAATAATTTGTGTTGTATTGATACTTTTTTAAATGGCCTAATAACAATTAAATAATAATCTTTGTAAACTAAAATAATTGTAGTTGATGATACTGTGCAAAATTATGAACTTGAAAAAATCTCTTAATTCTGATGTTTTAATGAATCTTGTTGTCATTTTGTTCCTCAGTGAAACACTTTTTGAACCTTAATTTTGTTTGAGATAAACACTGCCGAACATGTGGAATGTGATTTTGGACCAATGAACTTTTATCACAATCTGTCTGTTTATAACCAGTTTTAGCCAATATTTGACCATTTTGAGGGCCTTGTCAAATTATAACTTGTGAATATCTTCTTCTTTTTTTTTCAGTGAATTGAGTATTAACTAACAAATCTAATAAATAAAAAAACTAATATCATCTACATAATAGAGTACATTTGTTTGCTGTCATTTAAAATTGTATTATGTACACTGCTGTTGAAGTTTTTTTTTGTTTGTTTTTGAAAAGTCTAATGCTCACTAAAGTTGCATTTTTTGATCAAATATACAGTAAGTAAAACGTAGTAATGTAATAAAGTAATGCAATATTTTTGCAATTTAAAATGACCGTTTACTATTTTAATACATTTTAAAATGAAATGTATTCCTGTGCTAGCAAAGCTGAATATTCAGCAGCCATTACTCCAGTCTTTAGTGTCACATGATCCTTTAGAAATCTTTCTAATATGATGATTTGGTGCTCAAGAAACATTTTCTATTGTTATCAATGTTGAAAACAGTTGAGCTGCTTAATATTTTTCTGAAAACGGTGATGTACACATTTCAGGATTCTTTGATGATGGTTCAAAAGAGCATCATTTATTAGAAATGGAAATCTTTTGTAGCATGTCATTTTGACCACCATGTTCTCTTTATATCAGTATAATCATCAGTTGACTACTAGTTAGGGCAGCCTTTTGAGGAAGTCTGAACTAGGAGGATTCAAAAAAGTGAACATACCAAAACTGTTTAAGTTATTTCGGGCCCAAATACGAAGTCTGTGAAGTGCTGACAGTTTGAATTATAAACACACTGACCTCCTTCAACTCTCTCTTACAGATCTGATCCATTGCACAAATGAGATGAATGTGAACATCCCTCAGCTGGCCGACACGCTGTTCGAGCGCACCACCAACACCAGCTGGGTGGTCGTGTTTAAGTCCCTCATCACCACACACCACATTATGGTCTACGGCAATGAGGTCAGCTTCCCTACATTCACGCATGCTCTTGTACACTTTTATAACCTTTAGCCTGAGCTCTATAGCCTGATGCCTACACACCGAACTCAGGAATAGTTCACTCAAAAATTTTAAATGAAAAAAATAAAGTCTTGTCATTCCTATATATATATATATTTATTTATTTATTTAGTTCGTTTAATTTTACAAAATCAATCAATCATAAAAACAATCAATCCTGGGGGTTATTAGTTTTAAAATGGCAATACTTTTATAAATGAGCTCTATAGCCTGATGCCTACACACCGAACTCAGGAATAGTTCACTCAAAAATTTTAAATGAAAAAAATAAAGTCTTGTCATTCCTATATATATATATTTATTTATTTATTTAGTTCGTTTACTTTTACAAAATCAATCAATCATAAAAACAATCAATCCTGGGGGTTATTAGTTTTAAAATGGCAATACTTTTATAAATTTTTTTAAAGCTGTATAACCTTATTCACCATTCACTTTAATTTTACTGAAAACATTGGCCAAGATTCATCTTATGTTCTTGGAAGACAGTAAATCAGGTTTGAAATTAAATGAACGTGAGTAAATAACCAAATTTAAATTTTTTGGTGAACTAATCCTTTAAATCTTAGTATTTTCAGCAGTTTAATCATGGTTTTGGTTAAGCTAAAGCAGTTAAACCGGCACATGTGCCACAGTCAGTCAGTTTTACGCTTGTGGCTTTGCCTTTGACAGTACTGTTTATTTGCATGGTGACTAACTTCAAAATAAATTGAAATCCGAACTCTTTGTTCCTCATGTTGACAGAGATTTGTACAATATCTGGCCTCCAGGAACACATTATTCAACCTCAGTAATTTTTTGGACAAAAGCGGGTTACAAGGTAGGTGCTTTCAGCCCAACACTTCATTATTCATTCTATTTTTCCAAACACATCCTAGCTGTGTCATCCATTTTCATGAGTGTACAAACCCAAGACAAATGCAGACATGATGAATATTTGAGGAGCTGACAGAACATGCACTGTGCTTTCGCAGGTTTATCATTTTAATGTTAGTCATGGTCAGATGCGGTGTTGGAGGGTTTGGGCAGTAGAAGCATGAGGTCCTGTCTCTTTGTCTGTCTGTCTCCGCTTCTCTCCCTGAACTCCCTTTTGGGACCTGTTCAGCAACATTGGCCGACTTTCAGCTTAAATAAAGCACTAGTGGGTTTATTTACCCAAGGCTTTTCCCATGTTAACAAGCTGCCTGGCAGCCAGCACTAAAAGAAGGCAGCAGGGGAATCAGCACAGCGAGACTCTCTAGTTTGGAGAGTCTTTCAAGAAGAACTCTGGGCCCGTTTTCTGAAAATGACTAGAACTTCCTGGCTCAAATTTTCTTCCTGAGGCACCTTTTTAAAACTTAAAGTGGGCTGTCCTACATATTGGCTTTTACCATTTATCTCTACTGTTGGTTCCTGTTACAGAGACCTTTGAACTTAAAGTATCAGCCCACTCAACGACAGTTGCATAGGACTCTGACCCTGACTCGTCACTCAGTTTTATGACAGTTTATTTACTGCCCGAGTGCTGTAACTCATAAAACAAACCCTTCCTGTACATATCAATAGTCTCAGAATGTATTTTTGGGACAAGTAAGGATAATGTCACTGTTCAGGGCAGTAAAACTAGCAATGCACTAAACAAATTTCAACTTGAAGTGATGATTAGCTAGAGAGCGTGATTAAACTTGGTTATCCAGACCATGTGATGTTGTCTTATCAATTTAAGACCATTGATATTGATCAGTTGTTGTTGAAAACTTGGAATTTTTTACATGAAACAATTAATTAAAAATAGTAATAATAATTATATTTGATTAATAATACATTTTATATATATAGGACCGCTTTTTCCCCTTAATAAATTCAATCATTTCCAAACTGCATTTTGTATTTACTCAGCTTGTCTTTGTGTAATATAAAAATTTGTTTGATCTGAATCTTTTAAGTCTGCAAAAGGCTTGAGTTCGGTTCCATTCAGACTTAAAGGAATAGTTCACCCAGAAATGAAAATGTTGTCATCGTTTACTCATGTCATTCCAAACCTGTATACGTTTCTTTTTTGATGGTGAACACAAAAGAAGATATTTTGAAGAACCAAATTGTTGTTGGTCCCCATTGACATCCATAGTTGAGAAAGAAATACTATGGAAGTCAATGGGGACCGTCAACTGTTTGATTACCAACATTCTTCAAAATATCTTCTTTTAAGTTTAACAAAAAGAAACTTATACAGGTTTGGAACAACATGAGTAAATGATGACAACATTTTCATTTTTGGGTGAAGTGTTGCATTTATTCTGGGCTCACCTGCTTGCCTGTATATTAGTTATGTAGGCTATATTTTAATAATCAAGAGCATTGAGTTTGGTCTTTATCATCTTAGTCCATTATGCCACGTTTTGTGGTTGGAGGAAAATACTATATACATATTCATTATATTAATAAACTGTATATTGAATTTGATATTTTAATAGCATCTTACATTAAGCCATGTTAAGTTGTTTGTTTTTCTACAGGAGGAAAACGCTTAACGAGAGACACGCTCTGCAAGTGACGTCGCTAGCGGAAGTGCAAGTGTCTGAGAGTGCAAACGCCAAGCTGCAGCCAGACCCTTCTCACTTTTTCATGTGATTTTATTCCTTATTATTCTTATTTTATATATCTAAGCAGCAGAAATATCAGATTATCATATCACAATTTAAATCGCTACTGCAGTATTTGTTAAAACAATTGCAATATGATATTTTTACTAAATCGAACAGCCCTACTTGGAGTGTTTGTGTTGGACAGCTCCGTTCAGGGGCTGAGCTGCATCCGTTGGCTTCGTTCAGTGGTTACATGTTGGATGAGAGTTTCTGTGAGAGACTAACATACTAGTGAGAGTGGCTTCGGGTCATGATGTGAAGAGTGCAAGTGGTGATTGCAAGTGACTTCGTAATTTAGTTTCTTTTTTCTTGTCTTCACCACCTGGCTACTGTTGTAAAATGTTGAGAGATTCAAACAAAAAGTAATCAATAAATAGAACAAAATAAAAAAGACTGTAAGTGACGTCGCTAGCGGAAGTGCAAGTGTCTGAGAGTGCAAGCGCCAAGCTGCAGCCAGACCCTTCTCACTTTTTCATGTGATTTTATTCCTTATTATTCTTATTTTATATATCTAAGCAGCAGAAATATCAGATTATCCTATCACAATTTAAATCGCTACTGCAGTATTTGTTAAAACAATTGCAATATGATATTTTTACTAAATCGAACAGCCCTACTTGGAGTGTTTGTGTTGGACAGCTCCGTTCAGGGGCTGAGCTGCATCCGTTGGCTTCGTTCAGTGGTTACATGTTGGATGAGAGTTTCTGTGAGAGACTAACATACTAGTGAGAGTGGCTTCGGGTCATGATGTGACGACAGATGCCAGGCATAACTCTTGGCCTGGTGAAGTCGCAGAGCGAAAAGCAAGCCCCCTTAAAATGTGGTGGGAGTGCAAAGCCATCTCAAAATCTGACTTCATACCTTTTCCCATGTGTAGAGAAGTACTTTGACATGAAGAAAGCCCAGTGTAAAGAAGGCCTGGACATCTATAAGAAATTCCTCACTCGAATGACGAGAATCTCAGAATTTCTCAAAGTGGCAGAGGTAAGACGGCGTAACCTGTGCTATGGGGCTCCCTGCTTATGTAATGAGCAAATACACACGGGACACACATTAACCAGCTCTTTTCTGCTCATTACAGCAAGTGGGAATTGACCGAGGGGACATACCAGACCTATCACAGGTGAGGACAAATAAATTGGCTTTGTTTTTTTGAGGAAAAACTTACACTGACTGCTTTCCCTTCTGCCCATCAGCTACTTATCTGTCACTCTGCCCTTATTTTGCAAGACACAGCTTGAGATCCTCAGCCAAACATGGCACGGCTGCATTAGATCCAAACAAGTGCAAGTTGTAGAACTCTAACCTGCAGTTACCTAGAAATCTCAATGCGTAACATGAGTTATAGGAAAAGTCATCAGAGTTCTAGAACTGCAGCTAATTTGCTTGTGCAGTGAGGCTGCAAACTGCAGGCCTGCAGTGCTCGACGCATGCGGACATCTCTGCATGACACTGGTGGGGGAAGCTATTCTAACTGTCCTCAATGCTTGATTCATACAGCACATAAAGGTGTGATGCTGTGGGCAGCTTACAGGTTTAAGACAAAATTCAGGTCTAGGTTTAGGTCCGATTTCATTTGTTTTCGTTTTGTTTTTAACAATTAGTTTTTTGTGTTAAGGAGACAGTGTTAACAAGGAAATTATTATTTTTTTGAAAAGGATACCAGAATCATAAAATTAGAGGGTACAGGTTCCCCTCAAAATTTAGACGGAGTCATGCCCTGTTAATATGGGGTTTTCATTGGATTCTTAAACATTCATGTTTGATCTCCACCTTTTATACTGTATGTATATAGAAGTCTTTTTATATAAGCTATATTAAAGAAGTCTTTTTTTTCCACATAAAGCAAGTTTTCTCCATATGTTAAGTTTACAAGATTTTTGGGTTTGTTTTTATTCTGCTTAACATTTCTGCAGTTTCTTAGAAGCTCTGAAAAAAGACTGTTAAACTACCACCTTTATATTCTGTATCTTTCCTTATCTTTCCGTTTTCAGTTTACAGTTTGTGTAAGTACCTGCATCTCACTCTCTTCTCTCTGTGTTCAGAGCTTTTGGTTTGTACCTTTGCATGCTATCTGACTTTGCATGCTATATCTGTGTTTTTGTACAGCAGTGAATCTTCACTTAAGGGGACATTTTTGTCTGTAGTATGTTTTTATTATTGTGTATATAGTGTTTTATTATAGTGATCTTTAAAAAAAATTGATTTTCAGTTCATTAAGAATTTGTGTGAACATTTTTATATTTTTTGATAATTAATATAATATGGACAGTGATTCTACATTATTGTCATTATCATCATGCAATAATTTTTTTTAGAAAACATTAAAGAACAAAATCTATTTAGGTATAATATTTTTACACTTTTATTCATTTTTTATTATATTTCTGTATTTATTTAACTTTTTTAATTTGTTAAATTTGTTTATTTATATCAAGTCCAACAAGGCTTATTAAAAGTTTTCTCTAAAGTTTGAAAAATATCAAATAGTAATGTCATTGCATCATGTACAACATGAAAAATATTATTTCAAAATCCAGTGAAGGGTTGTTTATAGTAAAGTCACATGTCCTAAAACATTTAAGAGAAGCTACATTTTTTTTCAAGGTTTTAAGTAGTCAAAAGTGCCCCTAATTAAATCAATCACCACTATATGTTGCGTGTGTATATTTGTGGTCCGTGTGTGTGTACTGGCCTGTAAGCTAATATTTCCATACCTCCAGGCCCCCAGTAGCCTTCTGGATGCCCTTGAGCAGCATTTGGCTTCATTAGAGGGCAAAAAGGTCAAAGACTCCACGGCCGCCAGCAGGTACAGTGATTTTCAAGCAGTTAATTTTGAACTTTCTAGTATGTGAGGGGGTTGCTTTCCTCATGCTCTGCATTCAGCGAGTGTGTGTGACTTTTGGATGTGCCAAGCATGTGTGGGAGAGAGGTTTGCTTGGGGCAGCTTTTCCAAGTGAGAGGGATTTTGAGCTTTTTTTTAATGCTGAAAACAAGATTTTTGCTGCAATCTAGAAATCAACATTTCATATCTCAATCGTTCTTTAAAGGCTACATTACTGCAGTGTATATACAAAGAAATTGTACAAAGTTTGAAGTTGCATAATTCAGTTTTTCCTAGGTTTGTATTTTAATCTGCTTGAAGTATTGAATTATCTAAGGACAGGTGGTTTTAGGTGTTGTGAGTGATGTCATTAAATTTTCTTATTTTATTTAATGTAACATATTTCTAAAGCAATCAGTGTAATGTTTAAACAAAGTGTAAGAGGAATGTACAGGAATTTGATGACTTTCAGTTTGGATGTAGGCTAAAAAAATGCAAGCTTTGCTAACACTGACACTCTTTGCGGAAGTCAAACTTCGTTCCTGTAGAGGAAGCAGTAAAAATGTGCTCTGTGCTTGTAGCATTGATGTCTACTAATGCAACTCTAGCGATTTCAAAAGTGGCATGTTTACTATATCAGGTCTTCTGCCTGTCTTTCTACACAGAGCCAGTACGCTGTCCAATGCGGTGTCCTCTTTGGCCAACACGGGTATCTCTTTCACCAAAGTCGATGAGAGGGAAAAGCAGGCAGCTCTGGAGGAGGAGCAGGCTCGATTAAAAGCACTTAAGGTGTGTCACGACCAGTGTTGGGCAGTAACGCATTACTTGGTAACGCGTTACTGTAATTTGATTACTTTTTTAGTAACGGAGTAATTTAACGCGTTATAATTTTCAAAATAGTAATTAGAGTATAGTGACAAGTCGAAGTCTCTATACGTTACTGCCGCGTTACATTGCTGACAGAATGCAGTGTTTTATAATCTAGAGATTGTAAAAAGGATGTAGCACACGCACTGTCGAGTCAAGTGCCAGTGGATTATAGACCTGCTCCCGCGAGACCCGACACCACAGCAGTGCAGGACAAAATGGACGAGTGTTGGTGCGGGCGGGTAGACACCTGTCTGTGTGCAGGATGCGGGAGAATAAAATGATTCAAATAAATTGTTCTTCATCTATTGAACTAATATAAAATATAAACGATTAACA